ATCTCAACTTTTTTTGAAAAAGACTATTTATTGTAGTGGAAACTATATTTCATAAAGCTAAATATAATGTCATACTACCTAAAGAATCAAGTTCCTTTCTAGAGTACGCAATGGAATACACGCTGCCCAACTAAGAATACAAAGAAACAGAAATAATTTCCTTCACTCTATACTTAGCTCCAGACAGAATCAGCAGCCCAGGACTATGACTAATCCTTACTAATGCTTACCTTATAAGAAACAATAAGAAAGGGTTATTAGCTATCAATTCTTTGCCCTCAGGAGAACACAATGAACAATAAGGTAAAAAGTTTATCAGAGGAGGAAATGCAATAAATTTTTAAAAATTTCTTTTGTAAGTTCAAACACTTATCTCCTTGCATGGGAATCATAACAAATATACAGTTAAAAGGAAATACAGTATTTTTAAAGTTTGTCCTTAAAATATTTTAAGTAGAGTACGTACTAAAGTCCACTGTTGGATTAACCTTACTATTTTCTGACAAGAACCTTAAATTCTTTTAGGCACTACTATAAAGGGGATGAAATTTTATAACTGGGACATGGTTCTCAGGTACATGCCCAAAGTCATAGAAGCTCTACCTCATAAGAAGCTTCAAGAATAAAAGGAGCATGAGTCTCCAGGAACACTTGATTTATCGTCATAATGGAAGTTGAGTAGAGGTCACTTGTTTTCTTGCCTTGAAAGGTTTTCATAATAGAAAGCCAGGTCAAGATGAACCACTAGCCTTGGTTCAATATTTGAAACATAAACCATTTAACCATCAGTATTAGAAATGGTTTGATTTAATATAAAAAGAAATTAACTAAAAGGTACTGCAGAGTATTTCACAGAGTTAAAGGCGGTTTTTCTTCATAAAAAGGAAAATATTTTTTCTCAAATATTTACAAATTTCATCTAATATGGTATATGCATTAAAATTATAAAGAAAAATGAAATTAAATGTTCTATATTTTGAGATTGGTTTAAAAATAGGAGAGGGAAATAATTTGAATATTAAAAAACAAACTTCATGTTTCTATGAAATTGGAGTCACACAAAAATTGATTTGTTTTTGAGGGAAGATATATGCTTCTTGTATTATGATATCTTATTTGTTGAGTGGACTGATTTGTGATGCTAATTTATGAACTTGAATTCTTGTTTTAATTTTTAAAGAATTAATGAAAAAGTCCCACCGAACATAGTAACTCCGTAAAGTTTTTAAAAGGAAGAACTGTAGCCTGAGCCTTCAATCTAATTGTAATAAGGTAATGTCAGAGATAAGGTTGTTTTCTTAATGTAATAAAGACAGATCATAATGAATTGATCCAGAGCAATTAAATAAAATTAGTTCACTTGCAAATTTTTACCATTTTTTCTGAATTATTTTTGTACAAATAAGTTAAATAAAACCTATTATTGTTTTATTCATCAAGGATTGAAAAGACAGAAATAAAAAGTCAAGAAAACTTTTAAATACCCTGGCTTATTAATATATGTGAATGTTGTAGACAAATGTGAAAACCTACTTATAATTTTTTAATCAAATGATATAATTTCAAAAGAAATAAAGATGTCTACATTAATTTCTTCTTTAGATGGATCTGAATTAAAAAAACGAGGAAGATGCTAGGAATATCTTCCTTGTCATTTAACATATCCATCAAGTGTGAAAACTAACCCACTCCAACTTTTAACAAATCAATCTAATCCATTTAGCAGCTCTGTCTCACACATGTAATGCATTGTGTGCCTTTAATATTTGGAACAAATTAATGTCCTTTGTATTTTCAAATGAAGCAAAATGTTAACTCTGAGCCATAAAACAGTATAGTTAACTGGAAGAATATGGAAAGTTTATTAAAATATGAAAATCTTTGCATGTATAGATAAATGTATATGTTTCTTTATAATTTGAGAGCAGTAACAATGGCACAAATACCTAACGAGATTCAGTCATGAGGAATAATGAAAGTTGGTATTTTTTCAAAAGAAAGAACACAAAAGAAATAGATCAAAATACTACATAAATATCTTCAAATAACAAATTTAATCTATGACAGATTTTTATGTGTTTGATGCTATATGCATTTTTCTTTAGTACTGTAATTCTTTCTAAAATTCGATTTACGTAAAACGGCAGGCTAAATATTTTTCCTTTTTTCTTTGTCATATGTTTCAAAGGAAAAGGAACAAGTGGAAATAAGTGAAAAGGGGCATGAAAGTACTCTACAAAGAAAGTGGGTAAAGATTTGTGTAGAAGTAAAATGGGTCTGCTCTGTATTTTCAATTTTGTTTCCACATATTTCAGTGTATCAGTGCTTCCCATAATAGTTGGAACAATCTTCAGTAATTATTAATTTAAATATATAATAATTTTCAGAAATACAAACTGTTGATACGATGCTACAAATTGGCAGCTTATAACTATATATTGGAACTATGAGTATATTTAGATAATATTCTAGACACTGTGGAGAATAATTCAGATTTTGGTCTTGCTCTATTCTTATGATTTTTTGCCTGAATCATTCCTGATTCCCAGGATATTTTTTTTTAAATATAACTGCTTAATGGGTTTGTAACTCAACCAGTTTCATTTATCTAAATTATCCCCATTATAAAGAGGATAAATGTGTGTATGATAGCCTTAGATCTCAATGCTTGCATCCCCAAAATTACTTCTAGTGCAATACTATTATCTTTAGGGATTTAAAAAAAAAAAAAAAAAAAAACCTTCTGAACTAGTGGAGATAGAAAGAAGCACATAAAACTCTAACCTTTCAACATTTTCACACACAGATAAATTTCTATTAGCAGCCACAAAACTTCTTCTGACCATAGTTCTACCAGTGACTAATTGAGTATTATTGAATAAGTCAATAATTTTGGACTCAGCTGTCTGGAAGACAGTTTTTATAGTCACATTATTTCTAGGATAGATAATATTTAATGCATTTTTCATTTAAAATGCTATGACTTATAGATTATAGTGCTCTATGCTATAGTGCAAGAAAACTATTCATTTTAAATATTTTGTCACTATGATAAGGTTTAAAATTCACATTGTAAATGTAGCAGCCATAATTGTGGGTTAACATCTCAAAAAAAGTTGAAAATTATGGATAAGTAAAAACACATGATTTTTTGAGCTTTTTACATATTTGTAACATAAATTTAGGTGTATTTTTGCAATTCTTTTTAATAGAGGACTTTCCCCCTGATTTAGGAAAATTATAAAAATTTTAAACTTGGTATCTTCATCAAATAGGCAGTTAAAATATATGATTTATCATATTATCAATTATGGAATCATATCTTACAGTGAGAAACTGTCATAATTTCAATGACTTAAGTTTTCACTTACTAAAAACACTTTAAATGCAGATAACCTGGTGCCATTGAATGAAATTATATACAAAGTTAGTGTGCTCTAATTAAAAAGTATGAAATCCAGTGAACAGTTTTAAACCATAAAATTATTAACAATATTCCAAACGGGAATGGATAGTGGTATATTTAAAAATGTATTGTCCATAAATACAAGGCAAACACACCTGTCTGGAGCATCTAACTCGTGTCCTAGAGTGTCACTTAAATTGTTACCAGCTCACTAAAAGCTTGGGTAGATCAGGAAAGAATAAACATTGGCTTATTTGAGGGTAAGAAAATTAAGTATATTTCACCCAACTATATAAAATGGGACAAATTTTGGTGGCAAAGACATTAAAACATTATCTATACATGCATGAAATAATTTTGACATGTTTGGTTATTTTATTATAATTATACTTAATAAAATGTTAGACTTATAAGATACAATTTTAAGAAAATGATGCATTTCTACTCAAATGGGACAGATTCAATAGAAATGTAACAGTTGCCTCCATATAGGTTAATGGTAGTTTATCACCCAATTTAGGTCACAAAGGTCCATAAAATTGGAGTCACAGATCTGTGCATTATATTCCTTGACATTGACAAAAACTATATGTTATGCACTTAAGTGTGCCTGGGTAGATCTCAGAGGCATGGCTTTGGGTACTATTTCGCTTCCTGTCTCCTTCCTCTGTGGCAGCGTTAGCCTGCTCAGCTTCCTGGTCTCCATGCAGTGAGCAGCTTTGTTCCCACACACCCTCCTCCCTTCATGGTGTTTCTGGCCTTGATGCCAGTTTGTTACAGACTATAATCTTTGACACTTTGAACCAATTTAAACCTCTCCTCCTTTCACTGAGGGGTGTTAGGTTGTGATCCTAGCAACAGAAAAACTGACTTACAATAAATGATGTCATTTGATCCTCATAAAATCTCTTACAAAACAGTGATTTTCAGCAAGGAGTTTCAGAAAGGGAAACAAAGAACTCTCTCGAAGGTCATGCAATTACAGTGAATAACTGGACATCCCTCCCTGGCAACTTCCTTTTGCATTTTGTTACCAGCACAGCTTCTAAATTCCTTGTTTATTAATGCATTTTACCATCACACATTTCCCTTTATGAAAAACATATAGAATTTTTACCTTGGTTTCCACATGAATGACAGCTGACACACCAAAACATTAGTTTCACCATATTTCCCTTTGAACAGGCAGGGCTCATGAAAATATAATCATAAAAGTTCTCTCTGGCACTTCTAACAGAAAATGTGATACACATTTCTGCTTCAGTTTCTTGCACTTGCCTCATTCAACATATTTACAGGCAACAGAGAAAATAAAACATTTCTCTGCAATCAGTTTTTTTTCAAGATAAAACTTACTGGCAGTTTGCTTAGGTAGAATCTCCTTGGTATTAGAGCCTGTGACGAGGCAAGGCACAAGAGGCAACGTGTCATGAAATAGGGTGAAGATCATTTTAAATTTGGAGACTATTTCAGTTAGATCACAGACAAGTCTCCCTACTAGTCTAATGGTAGTTTTATCACCCAATTTAGGTCACACAAGAATAAGAAACAAAACATAGTTTTAAGTGGAAATAATGAAAATATGATTTCTGACCTGGATCTGTTGCTGAAGCAAGTTGATTTTGTGTTGTTGCTGTAGAAGCTGCTGCTGTTGCCTTGCAATCTGTGGAGAAAAGGCACATGGAAAATTTAAAAGTATATTTCAATAGCATGTGAGGAGCTTCCAGCGGTCTGCTTCTCAAAGTTTGATTTGACACTGATCAAGTTGATCAGGATACCACATCAGTGATCGATCGCAGTAAGATACGGTAGTTTTAAAAACTTCCTGTCCCTGGTGATATATTAAAAAGGCATGTTGTGACATTTTCAGCCCTTTTCTACAAAAGAATGTTGTATAAACAGAGTGAGGGGGTTGCAACCAAACAGTTTAAAGTAATAGTAAGTACTTCAAAGTCAAGTCCAAAACTAAAATAGAAATTTAACCCTCCATAAGATCATATCAAGTGTTTTCTATCTCAGAGAACAACACAAACATGGCCTGATCATTTTCACTTAGCACATCCTTTACATTTGCTTGACAGTGTCCCATGCCATGATTTTATTTTTAAAATTTAAGGACTTCCTAAGGACAAGTCCATAAATTCAGAGACGGTAAGGAGTATGCATGTATGGTTTACCATTTTCAGAGCCTGACATAAAGGGATATTGAATAAACACAAGAATGAGCATGTTAGAGGACATTTTTAAATACTTTAATACTTGATAATAGTCAGAAAATCTCCTCATAAAGATATAGCTTCTTATCTAATGAAACTTATAATGCTGTTATATTAAATGTTAGACTTCATCCTCATCAAGACTTATCAATATCTTTCCATTATAAAAAATATACCTTAATTTCTGTATTGAAAAGTTACAAACCTATAAAAAATTGATACATTATTATTAACAAAAGTAAAGAAGTCATTTAATGCTGGTGTGTCTACAAAGTTGCACCGTGATTATTTCCTTTTTTGATATTGGTACAATTACAAAGTCTAAATCTTTTTACTTGGCCATTGGAATATGGTGGGAGAAAAGCAAACTTTGTATTTTTCTGAAAAAAAAAAGAAAGAAGATGGTTAAGAAAAATAAAGGCATATTATTCTTTTCCTTTAATTCTTCCTTCAACATTATGAATATCTGAATTTATATGTAAAGCCTTTTACCAGTAACATGAGAGTATTAAGACTCTGCTCACATCATAGCCCTCCACACTTCCTCCTGTTCTAAACCCCTTAGCCTCTGGCCTGGATGACTTCAACAGTCTCCTAATAGTTCTTGTTTCTGTCTTTGCTCCCTGTAGCCGACTATCAACAGTCATCCAGAGAGGTCTGTGGAAGTACAAACCAGTAACCATACAAAGTCTGCAAGCCCGTATGGCTCACTTCCCTATTTCCTCTAAGACTATTTGAATGCTACCCCTTCAACAAGGTTTCCCTTCAGCAACTGGTTTAGAGAGTATATCTCTACCTAGCCCTCGTGCACAAATCTCTGCTTTATTTGTCATCACAACATTTATCAACAGAAGCTATGGTTTCACTAGCTTACTCAACGTTTGGCTCTTTCAACTGGAATTCAATACATGACAGATTTTTAAAATCTATTTTATTGCCTTCTATAATCCTAATAACAGAAAAGATCCATGGGGCTAAAAAAGAACTTACGGAAAGAGGCTCAGACCTGGCTGGAAGACTGATGGGTGAGTTAGGTCCTTCTATGTTAGTATGCGTTGTCATAAAAGTATTATTATACACACTGCAGGGATATCTTGCATTGTCTAACAAGTGTTGGGAGGGGGCTCAAAAAAGAAATTGTCAAGAGAGGGAAATCCCACCTGAATCTTAAGGAAAAGTTTGAAAGTCCTTTATGTAGAGATCTGCAACCCCACCGTGGAGGCTGTGCGTTCCAGCTCTGTTTCATAGGGAGTAACTTGGGTAGCAGTGTGGATTCCAGAAACCTGACCTCTTCTCATGCTTTGGAGGTAGTAGCATACCTGGTCATCCCTCCAACACTGAGAAGAATTCTGAAGAGACCTCAGGATTTCTAATGTTCCAAGCAGAATTTTGGAGGTCTTGAGAAAATAAAACATTCTAGAATTCTTTGGCAGTACTCAGGGGTTGGTCAGAACATGAGAGAGAGAGAGAGAGAAAGAGAGAGAGAGAGAGAGAGAGAGAGAGAGAGAGAGAGAGAGAGAGAGAGACAGAGACAGAGAGACAGAGACAGAGACAGAGACAGAGAGACAGAGACAGAGACAGACAGAGACAGAGAGACAGAGAGACAGAGAGAGAAAGAGAGAGAGAAATCTCTTTATTAGTAACTGCTTCAAATTTTTCAGGACAAATGTGCCCTCTGATCTACCAAAGCAGGTAGGAATTCTATCAAAAAAAAAAAAAACCCTAAGTGCTACAATTCATAGGCTCCCAAGAGTCTGCAGCAGTCACATAACTGAACATACTATAGTAAGTTAAGGACAAGCAAAGAGCAGGATTTTCTATAGTATCATAGGCACACATTGAGAATGCCTTTATCACAGGATGAAAGCAAGAGGATCATGGACTATATCCAATAAAAGGCCAAATAAATCTTTAAAGAAAGTAATGAGGCATTGTATTAAAAATAAAAATATCATTTTTCAAGCAGAGATGAACCCCTGAATAAAGTGAAAAATAATGGTGAGGGCAGGCACTTCAAACTATTCAAAAGAGGTAATCTGAGTATTTCTTCACCTCTTTCAACTCTGCTAGTTTATACTTTGGAACCTGTTTAGAGGGTTTTCCAGCATATGTAAACATACAAACACCCTTGTTTAAATAGCGGCCACCCTCCACATGGGACAGAAAGTAGACTGTGCCCAGAACATGGGACCCATGGAAAACAGGCATCATCCTTATGCATAAACTGACCTTATGAGATCCTCTGTCCTATCTTCCTAGCATGAATTTTTAAAGAAACAGTTGGTAGGCACTGCTTTTATATTCCTGCTATATATTCGTCAATTTTTATTGTCTGTCAGACTTGCACTGCTAAAAGACCACAGAAAACTGTACTTTTAAAAGTTATGAATCAGATTCTAAATGATAAAACTAGAAGTTTCAATTTACATTCAAATAACATTTTCTTTAGCTTACTGCATCTCAAAATCTCCATTTTCTCTCGTTCACTTGGCCCTTCCTGGCACTCCTTAATCTGACTGCTTCTAGATGTGTTCACTTTCCTCCTCATCACCCCTGCCGCCCTTGGCCTCCTCCTACTTTTGCATGGTGTCACCTCTCTAAGGCCTACAAAACTGCCACCGCTCTGCATGAGATGCTGCAGGCCCAGCTGTGAATGTGTCACAGCTACAAAAAGGTTTATCCAATAACTCAATCTAAGGAGTACTGTCTTGTCATACCAATCAATATTTATCCTAGCTTCAATTTACTTATCACCATAAGTTATGATTTTGCTAATTTATGTATTCCTTTGCCAACCAGCTCTTTCCCCTAGAGTTTAGGGGCTTTCTCTTTCAGGTTAACTGAGATAAAACCTCAGGAATTAGCACAGTACTTTTATGTAACAAACATTCAGTTGCTAATCACTGAGTAAATGAATGACCTACTCTAGTAGTGTAACCTACAGTCTCTTAGTAGATCACTTAAGGAGTTCAAGTGAGGCACCCCTGCCATCTCCTGCCTGGCATTCTAGGTGTGTTTTACACACCTCTATCCAGGTAAGGGCAGCAGATGAGACCACCCTCTAGGTGTGTTTTACACACCTCCATCCAGATAAGCGCAGCAGATGAGACCACCCTCTTCAACCCACGTCACCCTCCTCTGACCTTCCCTACTCCCACTCTTGGTGTCTCATTCTTACCGATTCAAAGTCATTCGCCTTTCGCTTTTGTCTGCCTTAATTTACTCAACAGCTTATTCATGAATTGAATGCCCACTTATTAGAAATTCCCTTCACTTGTTGAGTCCTACCTACTCTTCAAAACATCTCGAATGTCACCTTTCTAAGGAACGAATATATTTTGAAATGTTCCTCACTGAAAATGGTATATTGTATGGATCACTTTTGGTATTTCTTTCATGACTACCCAAATTTGCCTTCAATCTATATTCCAGTTCAGTGTACTTCAGACACATTTTGAATTTTAGATTCTTTTGGGATTTGAAAGATGTGCCCATGCATGCATAATAAAATGTCTTGAGGAAGAACCCAAATCAAAATGTACAATTTATTTGTTTCTTGTATTTCTTAAATACATACAGTGACGGTAATTTTACAGAATATTTTCAGTTCGCCTGTATTTTGCCTTATGTGATGTCATGTTTGGAATTTCCCACCTCTCGCATCACGTTATCACCGATAAAGCTCTGGATGTTTGGCAAATGCAGGTTGTAGGTTTTGAGTATGACATCAGCCAGTACGTTTAGGACATTCTGGACTTGTTAATCAGTTTTAAGATCTGTTTTCCACTTGCATTTGCTTTGTTTTTTGCCTTTTCATTTGCTAAATTGTGGCTGGGGCTGGAAACTCTTATTCATCTTCAGATGACTAAAGTAGTCACCTACAAATAGCAGGCAAAACACAGTGTAAGGGATTTGGTAAGAACGCGATTGCATCTCCGTTATTACTCACCTGCTCTTGTTGCTGCTTGGCCAGCTCCATTTGCTGCCGCTGCTTCTCAATCTGAGATGCAGCCAGTTTCTTCTGCTCATCGTGGGCAGCCAATAGCTGCTCGCGCAGACTTGTCAGCTGGTTGATCATCCCCATGAGCTGCCTCTCTTTCTCAGCGAGGCTTTCAGGCGTCCCTGAAAATGACACAGCAATAAACATGGAAGAAAAATGAGAAGACAGTGACATTTCAGTGACAATGGCTCTCTTGGACAGGGAACTAGTCCAAACATAAGGTTTAATTCTTGAGCACAAAAACATGTATCTACCTTATTTTAGATTTCCACTAAGAAATAGAATAGTGTCTATTTACTTATACAAAATATCAGAGTGAGTAAATGTTGATTTTTTAAAAAAATAACAATACTGTATAAAAAAGTCAAAAGTATTTGGTTAACTATCTATTATTTCTAACGCGCTATGATGGGTCCTGTAGGAAATTTAAAAATGTCTAATGCATAATTTTTAACGTTTAGTGTTTCACATAATTGAAGAAACAATAGAAAGAGATGAAAAACTAATGCTTTCATGATTATTAGATTATTAGGCATCATCAATTAGGAGGCTAAGAAGTTCAAAGTCAGTCGAAGCGGCTTAGAAAGATCTTGTCTCAAAAAAGGCTGGAGATAGAGCTAAGCAGCAGAGCACTTGGCTAACATGCATGGAGCACTGGATTCAATTCCCAGACTTCAAAATAAAGAAATGAAAACAGAATCAGAACTACTAAGATTCAGAACCAAGAAATCCTATGCCAAGAGGAGAAAACTCTTGAGGCAAAGGATATAGCTCAGTGATACACTATATGTTTAGCACCTGCAAAGTCCTAGGCTCAATTACCTGCACCCCCTAGACACACACACTCAAGAGAGGAAAAATCTACTTAGTTAAACAGGTTTTAGACCATTTTTCCCATATGCCACTCATAAGTGAGCCTCAAAAATTAGATATGGCAAACAAAACAAATATTTAAATTTGAAAACACCACAATTCTCAAAATAGTGAAACAAGGCAACCAAATTAATATATTATGATCAAATAAGATTATGCATGAATCTAAGCTTTAGAGAAGTCATGGGTTCTCACTGAAAACTCATGATGTGCTCAAGATATTTAAAATATATAAGTGAATCTTAAGTTAGGTAAAACATTTATTTAATGCACCAGAAATAAGCACTGTGCAATGAAACAGAAATAACATCACTTTTAATTGTTCTTTTAAAATTCACATCATAGACAAGATCCCTACAGTAAAGTAGTAGCAGGAAGAGAGAACACACTCTTTAATTACAGTTTTCACTGCAGACATTAGACACTGAACACTGTTTTAATAATGAACTCATCACCTGTATACCTAATTAGAAAGGTCGAATATAACAGTCACCCTTCCCACCCCAGTGCATTTCTCCATACCAACTCTTGGTGAAAAGCCATGGTAGCTATAGTTAGTGCCTTATAATTTTCATGTGCCCATTAGGAATGGCAGTAAAGTTTCTAAAAAAGTTTCCAGTGAACAAATATCTAAGAATTTCCAGCCAGTATAAGGTAAGAACTACTACTTATACCATTTTTATTATCAGCATGTATCCTTGTTTAGAGCATTTGGTCAGTAAACTGATGCTAAGTAATTATTATACCTCATATATTTGGTTCCATCAAAAGAGAATAATGTGTTACCTAAGAATAATAGCTAACTGACTAATCTATTATAGCATTAAATAAATTAAATGTATCTTGGGAATATTTTCTTCTTTTTTATTTTAAAAAAGGATAAAACTAAACATAAAACATAGCAAAGCAGATCAGAAGAAAATGATGTAAGTGACACAGATTTCAAAGCAAGACAACAGGAGATCTATAGTGGCTACCATAACGTCTCTTGTTTTCTTCTAAATAGTTGTCTATATCTTTACACACAATGAATTCATACAAAACAAAATAGTATAAAACTGATCAGAACAGTAATGAAGGCATTTCAGGCCTTCAAAATCAGGCAATAGGAAACTCAACAATGGCTGCAATAATGACTCTTGTTCTCTTCAAAATAGCTGTCCATACCTTCATGTATGTAGAAATTAAATAATGCAAAACAGACTAAAATCACTCTTAACAAAGAATAGAAGCATTATTGGATTTCAAAGCATGGTACAGAATCAGCAATGGATACCATAATGTCTGGTTTTCTTCAAAGTAGCTGTTTATTTCATCACACATAATATAATTAATTCTCGTAAACTGTTTAGAAGTGCTAGGAATGTATAAGCCTCTACATGTATACCTATCTGGAAATTTTTCTTAATGAAAATATTTATATGGCATCAATAGCAGCATCTTACATTGTTTATAGAGATAAAAATTGCTACCAGATTTTAAGCAATACACAATAGAAATAGTAGTACACATTAATTATACTTCAAGAAGTAGTTATTCCACTCCTAGAACTCTACAAGAAGCAAACTAAGTGCACACAGATATTAAAAAGTGAAATATCATAACTTCACTTTTTTATTTTAAGTGAAACATAAAAAATAATCTATAAGTGGGAATATTCAAATCATTATGAAATATCCAATACATTTGGGTATTTTGCTTCCATGAAAAAGAATAATGATATAAGATTTATTATAATATGAAATTAGAAGAAAAAGTTTAATAGGAATACAACATCTTTATTAGCACTCATCTCAATCTATACATTTAGTTATAGTAAAAAAACACCAAAAGTAAACTTACCCATGTATTAACAGTTACTATTTAGGTGGGGAGATTATAAGTCATTTTAAATTGGGGTTGGGGATTTAGCTCAGCGGCATAAGCGCCTGCCTTGCAAGCAGGCAGTCGTGAGTTGGATCCCTGGTACCGATAAAAACGAAAAAGACCAAAAAAAAGTAATTTTTTCTTCATATTATTGATTTAGTAGCTTTTCTCCAGTGATTATTGCTATTATTTACATATTCAAAAAAGTATCTTGTCTCAACATGTATATTTACATATATAATCTAAAATCTTAAAAAAGCATTATTTATTTAAATAGCTGTTATAACAGCTATGTATAAAGAAACATTTGGTGGTGAATATTAAAAAAATATCATTTTGATATTCACTATTTTAATAATGAACTCATCACCTGTATACCTAATTAGAAAGGTCGAATATAACAATCAGTGCAGTGCAAATATATGTGAATATATAAAATTTATTTCACATTCAAAACAGAATTTCCCATTTTATTTTCCATATTTCATTTAATCCTTTGTATCTTTAGCCAACTTCCTTGAGTTTGCTTTTTTCTTTGTGGTACTGGTGGTAACCACTCTGCCACTGAGCTGCATTCCAAACCTTCAAGGCATCTCAAGCCTTCTCACATGAATCATTTCTGGCCTTAACCTAACTCAAATGCTTCTCATCCTGAACTCTGCATTTCAACAATTCTAAGAAACACACTTGAGCTAGTTTAATCTCTCTGGCTGTTAAAATGTGTAACATCTTAGACATATATGTGCCAACCCTAAGATTATCAATTAGCCCTGTATTCTGTATAATTACAGAATGAATATTTTTAAGTGATTATTTCAGCTGGAAAGTTCAGTGTTTATTAATTAGAATTTACCATTTTCCTTCAACTTTTAAAACATTATCACTTGATCAACATTCTATTACCATCCTCCTCTGTTCTTCTTTCAAATAGCCATCCCTGTATCCACTATACTAGCAAATCATGTTAATTTTTCTCAAAGTAGCTTTTTCTTTTCCTTTAGTTTTAATTACTTGAAATTACTTTTTCTACATTATTATGTTCATATGAGTAATAAATCATTATAAACACACAGTAAAAAGTCTTCAAACACTGCCCCTTCTAATAACATCCACTGTTATTATTTTCTTGCATATTATCTCTTTGTGAATGCAGATTTAAGCATCTGCCATAATAGTTCTATAACAGTTTGCTAAAGTTGCTGTAACAAAAGAATAAAGATCAGGTGACTTAAGCAACAAATTTATTACTTCACAGTTCTTGAGGCTATGAATTTGAAGATTAAGTTATCATCAGGGCTAGGTCCTTTTGAGGACCACAAGAGAAATATCTATTCTAGACTTTCCTCTGTGACTTATAAATGGCTGTCCTTTCTATGTGTCTTCATATCCTCTCTGTCTTTATGTCTGTCTAATCTCCTTTTCCTATGAGGACACCAGTTATATTTAATTAGAGTCTACCATAGTGACCTCATTTAACTACTGTGTAAGATCTTTTCTGAAAACTGTTCACATGTGAGCCTTCTGGGATTAAGATTTGAACATATGAATTTTGGGGGAGCAGAAGGCACATAGATAGTTCAAGCTATAACAATTTCTTTTGTATAAGTAGCATAGATACTACAGTATAGTATTTGGAAAGAGTCCTTGTTTCACCTTCCTATCCATCTCCACAGCCCTCCTTCATTGTCTTTTCCATGATTCTTGTAGCAACTTTTAATAGAATTCCCAGTTGTCAATTTTTTGCTCTATAAGTATAGCTTCTAAACTGGTACCAAAATTATCTTCCTAGAAAACAAATGTCACTTTTCCTGTTTATAGACCTCCACTTATCCACCATTGGCTTTAGAATAAAATGTCAACTTACATTTTAGAATGAGTAAGGCCCCTCAAAATATCATCCAACCTTCCAACTTCCTTGTACTGAAAGTTTGGTATTACTGCTCCACACACCAGTCCCCTGCTAAATACCACTCTTGAGACGTGCTCTGTCCAAGGTGTTTCCTCCCCCGGTATTCACTCTACATGCTCTAGCTCATGTGTCTTGCTTTCTGGGGCTCTTTTTCTGATTTCTACTGACAAGAGCCGTTCCTGTCTTTGGGGAATTAAGTATGAGAGCTAAGGAAAGCAGAAGAATGAGAACACCTGAGCATTGTACATATCTTTATTATTATATCATTATTATTGTGCTTACTTAGTATATTGTACTGTCTTATTTTTCACAAACACTCTGAGTTTTCCTCTCACAAGGTTGGGAATGGTAGCTGCGAAAGCAACAATTGTAAAGATCAACTTTCTACTACAGGTAATGGCAAATAGTGTGTGTTAGGCATGTAACAAATCCTCTAACATTGTTTAATGAAATATATGAGGAAAACAACCTTTT